GAGGCAAGTATCACGGGTTATGGTGAGCCCGTAGTGGACTTACCTGGCACAGGAGCGAGGCAAGTATCACGGGTTATGGTGAGCCCGTAGTGGACTTACCTGGCACAGGAGCGAGGCAAGTAGCACGGGTTATGGTGAGCCCGTAGTGGACTTACCTGGCACAGGAGCGAGGCAAGTAGCACGGGTTACGGTGAGCCCGTAGTGGACTTACCTGGCACAGGAGCGAGGCAAGTATCACGGGTTATGGTGAGCCCGTAGTGGACTTACCTGGCACAGGAGCGAGGCAAGTATCACGGGTTATGGTGAGCCCGTAGTGGACTTACCTGGCACAGGAGCGAGGCAAGTAGCACGGGTTATGGTGAGCCCGTAGTGGACTTACCTGGCACAGGAGCGAGGCAAGTATCACGGGTTATGGTGAGCCCGTAGTGGACTTACCTGGCACAGGAGCGAGGCAAGTAGCACGGGTTACGGTGAGCCCGTAGTGGACTTACCTGGCACAGGAGCGAGGCAAGTATCACGGGTTACGGTGAGCCCGTAGTGGACTTACCTGGCACAGGAGCGAGGCAAGTAGCACGGGTTACGGTGAGCCCGTAGTGGACTTACCTGGCACAGGAGCGGGGCAAGTAGCACGGGTTACGGTGAGCCCGTAGTGGACTTACCTGGCACAGGAGCGGGGCAAGTAGCACGGGTTACGGTGAGCCCGTAGTGGACTTACCTGGCACAGGAGCGAGGCAAGTAGCACGGGTTACGGTGAGCCCGTAGTGGACTTACCTGGCACAGGAGCGGGGCAAGTAGCACGGGCTATGGTGAGCCCGTAGTGGACTTACCTGGCACAGGAGCGGCGGCGCTGTAACTAGTGACAGACAGATGATATGCAGTCGCCAGATACACGCCCACACACATACATGCTTGTCTCCTGAAGAACACAAGAGACGACGAGGCAAGAGGAACCTAATCAGCTCTTCAGGGGGAGATAATTGGCAACAACTCTTTTGCGTCGTGACAATGGGGAACCCAATCAATGGGCTCGGTTGGGCTCACACATGAGAGTGTGAGCCCAACCGAGCTACTGTCCAAGAGCACCGCGAACCCAACACAACTTAACGGAATCGTGAACGCAATCGAATTTCTGCCCCAAATCATCGTAAAACGCTGTTGCGTCGTCATTGCTGGGACGATCAGATGACATTGTTGATTTCTGACTTAGTGTGCCTCGAGGCAGATCTTCAAGGCACTGACTTAGTGCCTTGAGGACCACGTGCATGTGCAAGGTCTCCCGAGCATAGTATTGACTACGTACGTACGTGCATGCGCGCGTGTGCGTGTGTATGTGTGTGTATGTGTGTGTATACGTGTGTGTGTGTGTGTGTGTGTGTGTGTGTGTGTGTATATGTATGTGTGTGTGTGTACTCACCTATTTGTACTCACCTATTTGTGCTTGCAGGATCGAGCATTGACTCTTGGATCCCGCCTTTCCAGCTATCGGTTGTTTACAGCAATGACTCCTGTCCCATTTCCCTATCATACCTAGTTTTAAAAGTATGAATAGTATTTGCTTCCACAACCTGTTCCCCAAGTGCATTCCATTTTTCCACTACTCTCACGCTAAAAGAAAACTTCCTAACATCTCTGTGACTCATCTGAGTTTCCAGTTTCCACCCATGTCCCCTCGTTCTGTTATTATTACGGGTGAACATTTCATCTATTTCCACTTTGTCAATTCCCCTGAGTATTTTATATGTTGTGTGTGTGTGTGTGTGTGTGTGTGTGTGTGTGTGTGTGTGTGTGTGTGATTTGAGAAGTGAGAGGTTTGAGGAAGCCATAGTTAAGAAGTGACTTACCAAGGGAAAGACTAGGAGGGGTTGGGGGGGGGGGCAGGTCTTCACTATACCTTCCTGATAACCATTTGTCTATATCTGTTGACATATTGACCAATCCTCCTCCTTGTGCAACTCTCACTTACTCACTTAGTGCAAGAGTGATGACCAGATGGGTCAGCGACCTGTGATTCTCTTTCTCTGTTTATGGTGATTTCAATATTCTCACTGCAATGAAAGGGGGGGAGGGGGGTTATTTCGGTGAAGAGAATCTGTACATCTGAATCTGAATCTGTAGTGTGTTGTGTGTGGATGGCGTCTGCCCTGACAATCCGTTAATTGTATATATACATGTGATTGTTATATTATATATATATATATATATATATATATATATATATATATATATATATATATATATATATATATATATATATATATATATATATATATATATATATATATATATATTAGTATATTTTGTTAGCAGTCTTTCCTGTAGACATATATTATTATATATGACCGAAAAAGTAAGATTAATAATTCTAACACGAATTTTCTCAATCTTTCGTACATTTCTTTTCACTGTTGGAGGTAATTCAAAAATCAATTCTCCAAAATTCATTTTTATTTCTAGTCTGACGCGACACTTGAGCGCGTTTCGTAAAACTTATTACATTTTCAAAGACTTTACACATACACAACTGAATGGAACTTACATATCTCCGATTTGTTTATATCTACTTTTGAGTGAGGTGCATGGGGTGAGGTGGTATTTAATAGGGTATTAATTTCATTAACACAAGACAGAACACGAAACAATGGGTATTGAAATGGAAGTGACTATAGAAAGCCTATTGGTCCATATTTCTTGATGCTTCTATATTGGAGCGGAGTCTTGAGGTGGGTAGAATATAGTTGTGCATTAATTGGCTGTTGATTGCTGGTGTTGACTTCTTAATGTGCAGTGCCTCGCAAACGTCAAGCCGTCTGCTATCGCAGTATCTATCGATGATTTCTGTGTTGTTTACTAGGATTTCTCTGGCGATGGTTTGGTTATGGGAAGAGATTATATGTTCCTTAATGGAGCCCTGTTGCTTATGCATCGTTAAACGCCTAGAAAGAGATGTTGTTGTCTTGCCTATATACTGGGTTTTTTGGAGCTTACAGTCCCCAAGTGGGCATTTGAAGGCATAGACGACGTTGGTCTCTTTTAAAGCGTTCTGCTTTGTGTCTGGAGAGTTTCTCATGAGTAGGCTGGCCGTTTTTCTGGTTTTATAGTAAATCGTCAGTTGTATCCTCTGATTTTTGTCTGTAGGGATAACGTTTCTATTAACAATATCTTTCAGGACCCTTTCCTCCGTTTTATGAGCTGTGGAAAAGAAGTTCCTGTAAAATAGTCTAATAGGGGGTATAGGTGTTGTGTTAGTTGTCTCTTCAGAGGTTGCATGGCGTTTCACTTTCCTTCTTATGATGTCTTCGACGAAACCATTGGAGAAGCCGTTGTTGACTAGGACCTGCCTTACCCTACAGAGTTCTTCGTCGACTTGCTTCCATTCTGAGCTGTGGCTGAGAGCACGGTCGACATATGCGTTAACAACACTCCTCTTGTACCTGTCTGGGCAGTCGCTGTTGGCATTTAGGCACATTCCTATGTTTGTTTCCTTAGTGTAGACTGCAGTGTGGAAACCTCCGCTCTTTTCCATGACTGTTACATCTAGAAAGGGCAGCTTCCCATCCTTTTCCATCTCGTAAGTGAAACGCAGCACGGAACTCTGCTCAAATGCCTCCTTCAGCTCCTGCAGATGTCTGACATCAGGTACCTGTGTAAAAATGTCGTCAACATACCTGCAGTATATGGCCGGTTTCAAGTTCATGTCGACTAAGACTTTTTGCTCGATGGTACCCATGTAGAAGTTTGCAAACAGGACACCTAGGGGAGAACCCATGGCGACCCCATCTACTTGCTTATACATGTGCCCATCCGGGCTCAAGAAGGGTGCCTCTTTAGTACAAGCTTGGAGTAGTTTCCTCAGAATACTTTCTGGCATGTCAAGAGGAGTACAGGCTGGATCACGATACACTCTGTCGGCTATCATCCCGATTGTCTCGTCCACAGGTACGTTGGTAAACAGCGATTCTACGTCCAACGGCACACGGGCCACAGGGATAAGAGCCTCGTTGGACGTAGAATCGCTGTTTACCAACGTACCTGTGGACGAGACAATCGGGATGATAGCCGACAGAGTGTATCGTGATCCAGCCTGTACTCCTCTTGACAATCAACAGCCAATTAATGCACAACTATATTCTACCCACCTCAAGACTCCGCTCCAATATAGAAGCATCAAGAAATATGGACCAATAGGCTTTCTATAGTCACTTCCATTTAATACCCATTGTTTCGTGTTCTGTCTTGTGTTGATGAAATTAATACCCTATTAAATACCACCTCACCCCATGCACCTCACTCAAAAGTAGATATAAACAAATCGGAGATATGTAAGTTCCATTCAGTTGTGTATGTGTAAAGTCTTTGAAAATGTAATAAGTTTTACGAAACGCGCTCAAGTGTCGCGTCAGACTAGAAATAAAAATGAATTTTGGAGAATTGATTTTTGAATTACCTCCAACAGTGAAAAGAAATGTACGAAAGATTGAGAAAATTCGTGTTAGAATTATTAATCTTACTTTTTCGGTCATATATAATAATATATATATATATATATATATATATATATATATATATATATATATATATATATATATATATATATATATATATATATATATATATATATATATATATATATATATATATATATATACATGCCTAATTTTTATATGTGCTTGAGATGGTCTATGCTAATGATTAGCATTGTTGGAGTTTGCATTTAGGTCTCGACGTTAATAAGGTAAACAATTGAATTAATGTTCTGTGTTTTGCATGTGGTAAAGGATGATAAGGAAACTACACATCTGAAAATAGAGAAACGGCGACGTTTCGGTCCGTCCTGGACCATTGTCGTGTATTAATGGTCCAGGGGTAATGGTTTAGTACCCCCTATTACCTGATTCATCCTATTTTCCTGAGTGGTTTAGTGCCCAACGTGTTTCACTCTCTGTTCCCAGACGCCCAAAAGCGGAGGTCCGGCCAGGCTCCCACGTCAGAGGAAACGTTATTTAAATGGATTGTCTGGGAAGTGTCTGAGGGCCAGGCTGTTGGGTAATAGTGCCACCAGTGGTGCCAACTGTCTGAGGGCCAGGCTGTGGGGTAATAGTGCCACCAGTGGTGCCAACTGTCTGAGGGCCAGGCTGTGGGGTAATAGTGCCACCAGTGGTGCCAACTGTCTGAGGGCCAGGCTGTTGGGTAATAGTGCCACCAGTGGTGCCAACTGTCTGAGGGCCAGGCTGTTGGTAATAGTGCCACCAGTGGTGCCAACTGTCTGAGGGCCAGGCTGTTGGGTAAGTGCCACCAGTGGTGCCAACTGTCTGAGGGCCAGGCTGTTGGGTAATAGTGCCACCAGTGGTGCCAACTGTCTGAGGGCCAGGCTGTTGGGTAATAGTGCCACCAGTGGTGCCAACTGTCTGAGGGCCAGGCTGTTGGGTAATAGTGCCACCAGTGGTGCCAACTGTCTGAGGGCCAGGCTGTTGGGTAATAGTGCCACCAGTGGTGCCAACTGTCTGAGGGCCAGGCTGTGGGGTAATAGTGCCACCAGTGGTGCCAACTGTCTGAGGGCCAGGCTGTGGGGTAATAGTGCCACCAGTGGTGCCAACTGTCTGAGGGCCAGGCTGTGGGGTAATAGTGCCACCAGTGGTGCCAACTGTCTGAGGGCCAGGCTGTTGGGTAATAGTGCCACCAGTGGTGCCAACTGTCTGAGGGCCAGGCTGTTGGGTAATAGTGCCACCAGTGGTGCCAACTGTCTGAGGGCCAGGCTGTGGGGTAATAGTGCCACCAGTGGTGCCAACTGTCTGAGGGCCAGGCTGTGGGGTAATAGTGCCACCAGTGGTGCCAACTGTCTGAGGGCCAGGCTGTGGGGTAATAGTGCCACCAGTGGTGCCAACTGTCTGAGGGCCAGGCTGTGGGGTAATAGTGCCACCAGTGGTGCCAACTGTCTGAGGGCCAGGCTGTGGGGTAATAGTGCCACCAGTGGTGCCAACTGTCTGAGGGCCAGGCTGTGGGGTAATAGTGCCACCAGTGGTGCCAACTGTCTGAGGGCCAGGCTGTGGGGTAATAGTGCCACCAGTGGTGCCAACTGTCTGAGGGCCAGGCTGTGGGGTAATAGTGCCATCAGTGGTGCCAACTGTCTGAGGGCCAGGCTGTGGGGTAATAGTGCCACCAGTGGTGCCAACTGTAGTAACACTCACTATAACTCCTGGAGAAAAAAAATGGGATGTAAAACTTCCTCTTGAGAACTACATCTCCCTTTCCTTATTCCCTAGGGAGTCCCCAACGCACCCCTCCCCCTCCTCCCCCCCCCCCACTCAACTGTACCCCATCCACTGGACCACCTGAATTCCCCCCCCCCCCCGACACCCCAACCCACAGCGCCCATCTCCAACCCTCGCCTCTCCAAAACCCTAGCAACCCCCTTTCCCCCCCCCCTCCCAACGCCTTCCCCTGTATCCCGGCGGCAGACCAAGAGTGACGTCATCACTTCGCGGACACTTGCGCCAACCGGAAGTGTCTCGCGGTAGCGACAGTTGGCGGACTCACGCTTTCCTGGTGGGGGAGGGGGGAGGGAAGGGGGGAGGACACGAGCGAGGGAGGGATGTGTTGGGAATGAGAAAGACCTGGGAGAAATATACCTCTGTGTCTCATTACTGTTTCTCATTACTTTGTGACAGCACTGTAGTGCCTTCACCATAGAACCAACAAGGCACTACAGCACCACAATTCATCAGAGTACCAAGCCCAAATCTTTTAAGGTACTCTTAATATTTCACTTACAATAAACCCCGACAATATTTACGCTGGACCTTCCTCACACAACACACATAATAATCGTCTCAGGACTCAAGAGTTAAACTCAACTCCCCAAGACATCTTACACTACTCTAAATTAACTCCCCCACTGCTCCACCCCCCCCCCCAATACCTCTTCTAACCACGACACACTTCTCCAAGACCTTCAGCCATTATATATATATATATATATATATATATATATATATATATATATATATATATATATATATATATCAGTTATATATATATATATATATATATATATATATATATATATATATTTATATAATTTATTATTATTATTATTATTATTATTATTATTATTATTTTCTACCACAGACGTGGCCACACATTTACAATGCTAACCAGTATATATATACATTTTCTTCTGTCCTCCATTGACAGGGTTAGAGATGTGTTAAACATATAGTTCTGGGATTTATTGAACAATCAATCACATAAGGTGATTCGGTGCTTTTAAGTAAATAACTCAATAATTGAACAGATGTGTGTCCAAGACCTTTTCCTCTTGTTATACAATTTGGTTTTGTGTGTAACAATAAATCTATTTTTTTAAACAGATAAGTGCACCTGTAAGTTAAAAATATCCTGTCAGCTGTAAAAATATTTATGCACTTATTATTTAAATACAAAATATGAAACAAATATTTCTGGGTTATGTTTATCCTATCTTTTGTACGGTACGCTATATCCATTTTATAATATAATCATATATATAATATATGTCCAATATAATCATACTGGCTTTTCTGCATTTTTTCCTGGGATCCTGGGATTTTTTCCTGGGATCCTGGGATTTTTTCCTGGGATCCTGGGATTTTTTCCTGGGATCCTGGCATTTTTTCCTGGGATCCTGGGATTTTTTCCCTTGCCATCTGGGAACACTCTCGCTGTCGGTTCTGAGCAAAGTAATGCAAGTAATTTGGAAAACTCGGTGAAATCTCGATCAGAAATTAAGCCAAGACATACTGCACAATGCAATGAATGATTCAAAAGAAATACGACTAACATTACACACCAACATGAGGTCTTAATGGTCCAAGGTTAACATTTATGAACTTAAGATACGAAGCGTACGTACGGCGGGAAGCCGGTCGGCCGAGCGGACAGCACGCTGGACTTGTGATCCTGTGGTCCCGGGTTCGATCCCGGGCGCCGGTGAGAAACAATGGGCAGAGTTTCTTTCACCCTATGCCCCTGTTACCTAGCAGTAAAATAGGTACCTGGGTGTTAGTCAGCTGTCACGGGCTGCTTCCTGGGGGTGGAGGCCTGGTCGAGGACCGGGCCGCGGGGACACTAAAGCCCCGAAATCATCTCAAGATAACCTCAAGATAACGGCTCATGGGTTCTATTGAATCTTTCTTGAATCGTGCGTACGGCTCATCTTACCGAGCACTTGAGAACGTTGACCAGACCACACACTAGAAGTTGAAGGGACGACGACGTTTCGGTCCGTCCTGGACCATTCTCAAGTCGATGAGAACCTTGTTCTCAAGTGAGAACATTCTCACTTGAGAACCTTCGTAGCGCAGCGACTTGCGAATAAATACTTGGCGCTACGTGAGTCTAGGTCCAGGACACACACCGGTGGGTGTCGTCTGTTATCAAGAGTCTGGTTATCTCATCACCGTCACCACACCAACGTTTTCAACAAGACAACAACAAAGCTCTCTCTCTCCTCCTCTCAAGTATTTACACGTAAGGTGGATCCAAACTGACACTTCTGATCGAGTACGTTTGACCCTCAGGAATATACCTACAGAAAAAAACCGTCACCACCACCCCCCCACTGTCACCACTACCACCCCTACTGTCACCTCCACCCCCCCCCCCCCACTGTCACCACTACCCCACCGCCCCCACTGTCACCACTACCACCCCTACTGTCACCACCACCCCCACTGTCACCACCACCCCCACTGTCACCACCACCAACCCACACCGCCCCCACTGTCACCACCACCCCCACTGTCACCACCACCAACCCACACCGCCCCCACTGTCATCACCACCACCAACCCACACCGCCCCCACTGTCATCACCACCACCAACCCACACCGCCCCACCATCACCACCACGAACCCACACCGCCCCACTATCACCACCACCACCACCCCTACTGTCACCACCACCCCCACTGTCACCACCACCACCAGCAGCAGGAGCAGCAGGAGCAGGGCAGTAACGGTAGTGGTGGAGACGGTGGTAGTGGTGGTGGCGGGAGACTAGCGGGCCGACACAGTGGCCGGCAGCCTTCCTGTGGTCCTCAGTAGCGTTCCGGCCAGCGCCGCCCCCAGGTTCCTGAAGGAAGGGTGGCCGCCGGACACGCACATCCTCCCTGGCCCACAGCAGCAGCCACGGATCACCCGGCCCTCCTCTCAGGTCACGGCAGTAGTCACGGACCTTCCTCCACCTCCAGCACCGCCTTAACACCCTGACCAGCGCATACAGTTCTGACTGATGTACTGTTGAGGACCATTCAGGCTTTTGACCGAAGGGCGAAATCAATTATTCTAGCAAGAATCTTCTCTACTTTCCCCTTACATTTGACTTCACTTTTGAAGTTGAAAAATTAACTCTACCAAGTTCATTTTTACTTTTAATTGGCAAGATGCTATGAGTTAGGTTTCGTTAACTCTTGTTAACATTGTCAAAGGCAGAATAGGAATAATTACAAATTGAAGATTAAGCCACCTAAGAGATGGCACGGGCATGAATAACCCATAAAGATTACAAATTGATTGATTGATTAATTGATTGATGAAGATTAAACCACCCAAGAGGTGGCACGGGCATGAGTAGCCCGTAAATTACAAGCAGCAAGAACCTATTACAGAACAAATAATCTCAATACATAAGTAGTTTCAGTCCCGCTCCTGTGCCAGGTAAGTCCATCACGGGCTCTCCATAGCCCGTGCTACTTGGAACTTTTAGTTCCCAGTAGCTGAATCCTAAACAACAACAACAACAACAACAACAACAACAACAACAACAACAGATATCCTCACAACCAACACCCAAATAATGGACACATACAGTGACAACAGAAGACTGGACATGTGCGAGACATTATACATCAAGCCACGTACATGGGGAGCCGGTCGGCCGAGCGGACAGCACACTGGGCTTGTGATCCTTGTGGTCCCGGGTTCGATCCCGGGCGCCGGCGAGAAACAATGGGCAGAGTTTCTTTCACCCTATGCCCCCCTGTTACCTAGCAGTAAAATAGGTACCTGGGTGTTAGTCAGCTGTGACGGGCTGCTTCCTGGGGGTGGAGGCCTGGTCGAGGACCGGGCCGCGGGGACACTAAAGCCCCGAAATCATCTCAAGATAACGTATCAATAGCCAACTAGCACCACATTACACTTCCAGAACACGACGGAACACGCAACATCCTGTACCAGCCATCATGCAAACTGTACAGTATCAAAATACCGTGAACCTCTTCACAGTACTTCACAGTATTTCTTCTTCCCTTCATTACCATTCACCTCATCACCTTCACCTCATCCTCGGGTACATATCATGCAGCAAGACAATTTATAATTGCCACGGGAGACATCTCCCGTCACGCAGGGTGCAGTCGCACCTCCACAGATCTCCAGTATTAGCTCTTGATACTGGTAATGGCTCAAAAGGGCCGCCACTTACGGGCTATTCATGCCCGTGCCACCGTTTGGGTGGCTTAATCTTCATCAATCAATCAATCAATTTATAATCATCATCAATTTGTAATCATTCCTACTCGGCCTCTGACAATGTTAACAAGAGTTAACGGAACGCAACTCTTAGCGTCAAGCCAAATAAAACTATAGAAATGAACTTTGCCGAGTTAATATTTCAACTTCCTTCTCATGTGAAGAAAAATGTAAGGAAAAAAAGAGAAGATCCTTGCTAGAATACTTGATCTCACCATTGCGGTCACATTCAAATATATATATATATATATATATATATATATATATATATATATATATATATATATATATATATATATATATATATATATATATATATATATATATATATATATATATATATATATATTGGTGTATACTGGCAGCAGGTTTTCTTTCAAACATGTTTCATTGAATATGACCGCATATTCTGTGTTTATTATTTTCTGGTTTAGGGCTTCTATCCCTCTAACTATTTTCTTAGCATCAGGGCTTAATTGAAATAGGAGTTCTCCAAAACTCATTTTCGTACTTTTGAGGTGAAGAAAAGAAGTGATTTACTATAGAGTGTATTACACTTATTTATGTGCAAATTATATAAATAAGTGTAATACACTCTATAGTAAATCACTTCTTTTCTTCACCTCAATAGTACGAAAATGAGTTTTGGAGAACTCCTATTTCAATTAAGCCCTGATGCTAAGAAAATAGTTAGAGGGATAGAAGCCCTAAACCAGAAAATAATAAACACGGAATATGCGGTCATATTCAATGAAATATATATATATATATATATATATATATATATATATATATATATATATATATATATATATATATATATATATATATATATATATATATATATATATATATATATAAATCCCGAATGCAGTTTCTTTCTTCTACCACCCCCATTTCTTTTTATGCTTTGTTTTGGTACATTTGATAATTAAAGGTTACAGGTTAGACACTGGTGAATACAATGAAAGGTTAAAGAGTGTTGATCACTTGGACCTCCTCAGCATCCGGTCAAGAACCGAGGACACAGCGAGCGTTCCCGCTCTGCATCACCGCACCCAGGCGCTGAAACAGGAAACTGACAGCTCTTGGGTCTCTGGTAATGTCAATGAGCCTAGAACCCAATTATCGGAGAAAGCTCAATGCATTCTCCCCCCCCCCCCTCCCTCGGGACACAGTGTCTCGGTTACTAAGAGAACAAACGCATACTGCATTTCCAGTTGCGTGTATTTGTTTGATTTTATTGTTTCCCTCTGAAGTATTCCAGTGAAGTATCCCACTGTGAAGTTACACACAGAAATCACAACAGCGTGATGCATCAAATGAACAAATCCACAAGGACCGTGACGAGGATTCGAACCTGCGTCCGAGAGCATCCCAGACGCTGCCTAAATCGACTGAGCTACGACATGGTCAAAAGAATTGAAACAATGTTTCAATTTTGAAACCATGCGAGCATGTCGTAGCACAGTCGATTAAGACAGCGTCTGGGATGCTCTCGGACGCAGGTTCGAATCCTCGTCACGGTCCTTGTGGATTTGTTTACTGTGCAGTATCTCACAGCCAAATCCCACTGCCAAATTCTAAATGCCACTTTTGGAACGGAGCATTTTTATTTACCTCTGGACTATTATACCTGAAATATAATGGACACTAACTTTTGGAACACACTGTAAACAGAACGTAAACAAACACAACACTCAAAACAGAACAAACAAAACAAAAAATTCATTACAAGAAGAGGTTAAAGTGTCAAGAGGTCAGCGGTGCGCTTCAAGAGCGCGCCAGACCAACCCGTCCTCTTAAAAATAACGTCACTTTTGGCTCGTATGCGCGCTATGGCCAAATTTGGACGTAATTTGAAATGAAATCGACTCACAAAAGTGACGTACTGTTCCGTTTTCTGTTTGAGTCGTCCGGCCTACTCGGCCAGCTGACCCCTGGGTGTGCAGCCCGCCACTCCGTACATAAATGCGATGGTTTTCCCTAAGAAGAAACTTTGGAAGGTAGGTGACCTAACTTCATGTAGCCTTTCGAGGCGGAGGCTCGGAAAACGTCCATATGATGGGGCTTTACAGATTAATTAGACGCCCGCAATTGTTGACGGATTGGTCAATACCGCTGAAAATTGCAATGTTCTGGGAGAGACGTCCAAAAATGTTGCAATAGTGCAATGATTATCAATAGACTTCATTGCAACTGCTCTAAAGCCAAGTAATTCTCTGTAATATACACAAAGGTAAGGTATGGTAGTTATCAGGAGAAAAGGTTAAGCCATTACGATTATATAGCACTGGGAAGGGATCACGATAAGGATTTGGGATGGGACGGCGGGAAGGAATGGTGCCCAACCACTTGGACGGTCGGGGATTGAACGCCGACCAGCATGAAGCGAGACCGTCGCTCTACCGTCCAGCCCAAGTGGTGTGGCGTAATATCCACAAGGTCACTTGTAAAAGAACAAATCCACAAGGGCCGTGACGAGGGTTCGAACCTACGTCCGAGACGATCCCAGACGCTGCCTTAATCGACTGAGCTAAGGCATGGTTAAAAGAATTGCAACCGGAGTTGTGTGTAGTGTCACTTGCCAGTTTTAGAAACCAATCACACTGATATCGTTCGTTGTAGACGACAGTTCCCAGATATACAAAGGTAAATACGGCATATCTATGAGCCTTTCAGTTTTCTGTATGATGTCACATTTAATATTCGTTAGGTGAGGCTAGGTAAGGTTTGAACCCCCAGCACAAGACGTGGACCAGACTGTGCGACACAGTGCTTGCCAGGAGCAGGTTAGGTTACCGTTACCTGTGGCAGGTGGCTACAGGTGACGGCTCTCCCAATCGTCCGGGTGCTAACTCTGTGAGCAGGAACTGCGGCATGATCTCAACTACCTTACTGAATGCCCAGTCATTTGACCCTTCAGACCCCACCCCCCTCCCCCGGTATGAGGTACCTGCAACGCTACAATGACTTTATTCATACATGAGTTATTAACATTATCCTCATGATACACCTAAAGTGTGCCAGTGTAGGCTACTGACCACATGGCCTTGTGTGACTAACCATCCTGTGTGATGGCGACACATTTAACAGCGCATAACTAGCTCCCTCACACACTCTATGTAACCTTTCATATATTCTAAGTTGGCTGCATAAATGACCATGAACCTACGTTAATCAAAATCTAAAAATGTATGTATGTTAGTGTATGTATCTAATACTGGAATAAATAAATATAAATATTAACTCTTGGACTAGATATGAAGCTGTTCTTAATAAAAGTCGGTATGCTTAAATGAAAGAAATTGTACACACACAGAGCCGGTCGGTCGGCCGAGCGGACAGCACGCGGGACTTGTGGTCCTGGGTTCGATCCCAGGCGCCGGCGAGAAACATTGGGCAGAGTTTCTTTCACCCTATGCCCCTGTTACCTAGCAGTAAATAGGTACCTGGGTGTTAGTCAGCTGTCACGGGCTGCTTCCTGGGGGTGGAGGCCTGGTCGAAGACCGGGCCGCGGGGACACTAAAGCCCCGAAATCATCTCAAGATAATCTCAAGACACACCAAAGCAACAACAAAAATATAGCAATTATAGAATAGCTGATTGATCTTCCGTAACAGGCTTAGCAGAGCATGAAAATATGTGTTAATTTGCTAACAATCGACACGCCTGCAGGTTTTCTGTTCACGTGGCAACAATGATTCCTGCAATTTTTGGGCGGGAAGGTAGCGTTACTTCCTCTGAAGACTTCCGGTTGATACGGCCCATTGCGCGCGGCCTTCAAGGTGTTCGGCTGGCGTAACACGAGGCATTCAAGCAGTTACGATATTTGGTTCACTTGGTGTCTGACAACCAGCGCAGCGTGCTAACGACCAGTTCAAAATGAGACGACGAGCACACGAACTCTTTTTTTTTTTTTTTTAAATTGCTGCAGTGTTTATTAACCGTTACGTGTCCGACTCCCTGATTGGTGGAACATCACTCCTCCCGATTTGGAACAAAACAAAACAAAAAAGAAACTAGAAGTGTCAAACAGACCAAAAAAAAAGGATTTAGATTTCTGCTGACTTAATACCTGGAACCTGACAAGCGTATCCGCAACGTTCTTGAAGCAATACATCAACAGGTAACAATTCAATTTCTTTCTTTATTATGCACCCCATACCTATCCCGTGGGCGGTGGTATAAAGGATTACAGAGGCACATAATCGGTTCAGGAACTGAACCCTCTAGTTCGTTTAGCTAAGCAAATAACAACAAGTGACAACTGGAGGCAGTTGTCACATACACAGTTTCAAATGTAGATATGATAGAGCCCTAAAGGTTCAGGAACCTGTACACGAGTACATTGACGAGTACATTCCAGCGTGGTTGAGAGGCGGGACCAAAGAGCTGAAGCTCAACCCCCCCCCCGCAAGCACAACTACGTGAGTACAGCAATACATAATTGTACTAAAGGAAACCAAAAGCAGCGCTCTGATCGCTACGCCAAACAGGACTAGCAAGGGTCTACAAGGAATGAATGAAAACCACAACATACACAATTTAAGGCGAACTTCCGCCTCTACGACTAATGATACCAAAGGCCACGGGAGGCAGCGTGGTTCCTGTGGGCCTGGCCCCGATGTATGGATTATACACACTGCGGCCGGCTGTGTAGCCCTGTGTAGCCGGCTGTGTGGTAGCCCAGCAGCCGGCTGTGTGGTAGCCCAGCAGCCGGCTGTGTGTGGTAGCCCAGCAGCCGGCTGTGTGTGGTAGCCCAGCAGCCGGCTGTGTGTGGTAGCCCAGCAGCCGGCTGTGTGTGGTAGCCCAGCAGCCGGCTGTGTGTGGTAGCCCAGCAGCCGGCTGTGTGTGGTAGCCCAGCAGCCGGCTGTGTGTGGTAGCCCAGCAGCCGGCTGTGTGGTAGCCCAGCAGCCGGCTGTGTGGTAGCCCAGCAGCCGGCTGTGTGTGTGTAGAACAATATCTTAAACGCCACTCACCGTAAGAGCGGCCTCGTGGTGGCCTTTGGTTCCCGGCGCTAACATTCCTCCTCCCTAATATGGGACCCACGAATTCCCCATAAACGTTTGACCTCGCCATCTCTCTCCTCATAAACGTTTATTCTCGACATCTCTCAGGAACTTGGCCCTCGGGATCTCTCACAAACGTTTGACCCTCACCAACTAAATTACATATCCCTCAAATTCCTTGAGTTACATTCCAGGATTCGTAGGTCAAACTCTGCGCTCAGATAAACAAACTTTCCCCCAACAAGAAACATGGAAATAAAAGCGAATTGACAAAACAATGAACAAAAAAAGTAAATATATATATATATATATATATAAATCACGCGACGACGCGCGCTGCTGCTGGCGCGCTAGTTGGTTCCAGCGTTTTCTTTGTTTCAGATCTCTGGAAGGTTTTCCAGCGGCCAACAGCGACTCATAAACGTCGCGTCTACAGGGACCTGAGCTTACCTGTTCTCATTGACGGCTCTCGGGTCTTCCAGCGCTGGCGGGAGAGGCGATGACTCGTGAGAGACGGCGAGTTCTGGACCACTCCTGGAAAAGGGGAACGACGACCAATCCTTGGTTCCTTGGTGAGTGAATATGATCCTCCTGGAAAGAGAATATGATTGTACTGAATGAGAGACATTGACCTTCCATGATGAGAGACAACGATGCTACGTTAAACAACTGACGGTTAGAAAGGCGGGGTCAAAGAGCTAAGAGCTCGATCTTGTAGCCATAAATAGTAAATACACATGCGCACGCACGCCCGCGCGCACACACACACAATTACATATCCTCGGTGGGGATAGGGGGGCCGGTGGCCGAGCGGACAGCGCACTAAACACGTAATCCTGCAGTCCCGGGTTCGATCCCGGGCGCCGGCGAGAAACGATGGGTAGAGTTTCTTTCACCCTATGCTCTGGTTACCTAGCAGTAAATAGGTACCTGGGAGTTAGTCAGCTGTCACGGGCTGCTTCCTGGGGTGTGTGTGGTGTGAAAAAAAGTAGTAGTAGGAGAAACAGTTGATTGACAGTTGAGAGGCGGGCCGAAAGAGCAGAGCTCAACCCCCGCAAGCACAACTAGGTAAATACACTCTACAGACCCCACATCAGTAACAAGTACCCCTCCCCCCCCCCCCCCAATGCACGCTGCTAGAGACTGATCCGAAGCAGGCCAGTAGAACATTTAGAATAGATCAAGTTTCTCTCAGCGACAGACCAGCTACCACAATTTTAGTAAAAGCAAATCCTCCTTGACAAACTGGCTGGAGTTCTATAACAAGATGAGAGAAATCGAACAAGAGAGAGAAGGAGGGGCAGACTGCATATTCCTCGACTCTCAGAGAACATTTGATACGGTCCCGCACACAAAAACTAATACTCAAGCTAGAGAAGCAGGTTGGTGAACCAGGAAGTGTTCTAAGGCGGGTCAGAGAGTATCTCTCAGGAAGGAAACAAAGGGTCACCGTGAGAGCAGACACATCAGAGTGGAGAGAGGTTACAAGTGCAGTACCACAAGGGTCGGTTCTAGAGCATATCCTGTTTCTAAATATGTCAAACGACCTTACAATGGTTTCTTCATATCAGTGTTTGCAGATGATGCAAAATAATAAGTCATGACACGGAATGACTGTAATACAAACGGATTTACACATACTTCAGAAGTGATCTGAAAAAAATAGGTGCTAGAAATTAACCCAGCCAAAGGCAAAGCTATAAGATTGGAACAGAATTGTGAAGACCTGTACAGCAGTACAGGTTGAGGGGAAGACGGACTCTTCAATCAGAAAAGGAGAAAGACCTGGGAGTGGACATGACCCCCAAATCTGATGCCAGAAGCCCACATTAGCAGAATAACAACAGCTGCATAATGGCATACTGGCCAACATCCGTGTATCCTTCATGGGGGCTTTCCGAGCCCTATATAAAGAGAAGGTGAGATCCACACTTTACAATGCGTCCCCATCATGGAACATGAAAAATGACAAAAAAAAAATACTACAAAAATTCCGAAGATATGCAACAAGGCTCTTCCTGAGCTGAAGGGATTGAGCTATGTGCAAAGCTGAAACCTACCACACTGGAAGAAAGTTGAGACAGGCGAAGACAAGATAACAACTGATAAGATTCTAAGGGAATTTGACATAAGACACTTCAGCATTGTTCAAAGTCAGGGACTGCAGAACGAGGGGTCATAGATGGAAACTAGAGAAAGCAATGAGTCACAGAGACGTCAGAATAAGTGACATACACTAAACGTAGAAGTCATTGAAGGTAACTCAATTCAAATTTTTAAAGATAAGTATGATAAAATCGTGAGGAAATGAGTTATTTATTAATCTAAGAACGTTCGGAAGGCGGGACTAGGAGGCTAATTCGATCATACAGCACATTTAGGTGAGCACATCTAGGTGAGTACATCTAGGAGGTGAGCACATCTAGGTGAGTACATCTAGGTGAGTACATCTAGGTGGTGAGCACATCTAGGTGAGTACATCTAGGAGGTGAGCACATCTAGGTGAGTACATCTGGGTGAGTACATCTAGGAGGTGAGCACATCTAGGTGAGTACATCTAGGTGAGTACATCTAGGAGGTGAGCACATCTAGGTGAGTACATCTAGGTGAGTACATCTAGGTGGTGAGCACATCTAGGTGAGCACATCTAGGTGAGTACATCTAGGTGAGTACATCTAGGAGGTGAGCACATCTAGGTGAGTACATCTAGGTGAGTACATCTAGGTGGTGAGCACATCTAGGTGAGTACATCTAGGTGAGTACATCTAGGTGGTGAACACATCTAGGTGAGTACATCTAGGTGGTGAACACATCTAGGTGAGTACATCTAGGTGGTGAACACATCTAGGTGAGTACAGTGAGAGGAAGTTGAGCAGGATGTTTGTCAAGACGTTGCGAAGACATGAGTGTTGAGGGCACACCCACACCACCTCCCACACCTTCATCTTAAACACCCTACACACACACACACACACACACACACACACACACACACACACACACACACACACACACACACACACACACACACACACACACACACACACATGGGATCACAAGCAAGACAAGTGAACTAAGGGAAAGAGCACAAGAAGTTAACCCAGATGTAATCGGACTCACTGAAACAAAACTCTCTGGAATCATAACGAATGCCGTGTTTCCCCAGGAGTATACAGTAATAAGGAAAGAGAGGGAAGGTAGAGGAGGAGGCGGAGTGGCCCTACTCATGAGAAGGGAATAGAGTTTTAAGGAGATGGCCATCCCGGGCTGTGAGGAGTTCAGAGACTACATAGCAGGCACCATAACAATGGGAGGACCAAGAATAGTAGTAGCAGTAATATACAACCCTCCACCAAATGACAGGAGACCCAGTCAAGAGTATGAAAACAACAACAAGGCAGTTAACACTATAATTGAGAGGGCAGCCTCTGCTGCCTGTAGAAATAGATCCCACCTGCTCATCATGGGCGACTTCAATCACGGAAAGATTGACTGGGAGAACAAGGAACCGCATGGAGGCGAGGATACGTGGAGAGCCAAACTATTGGAGGTGGTGACAAGCAACTTTTTAACGCAGCATGTCGGAGAACCCACAAGGATGAGAGGCAATGACGAACCAGCGAGACTCGACCTAGTCTTCACTCTGAACGACTCCGACATAAGAGAAATCGGTTTTGAGGACCCAGTAGGAATGAGCGACCACAGTGTACTGGTGTTTGAGTACTTGATTGAAGAAGGGTTATTGAACTCGAGGAGGGATACCGAAACCAAAAGGTTAGCATACCGAAAGGGAAACTATGAGGGGATAAGAAAATTCCTAACAGATATAGCATGGGAAACAGAGCTCAGGGGAAAGACGGCCCAAGATATGATGGATTACATCACGCAGAAGTGCAAGGACGCAGCAAACAAGTTTGTCCCAGTCCAAAAGGAAAACAGAGAAATGAAGATGAGAAACCCATGGTTTAATCAAAGATGTAGGCTAGCTAAGCAGCAAAGTAAAAGGGCATGGAGAAACTATAGGAATAACAGGACACTGGAGAGCAGAGAAAGATACCAGAATGCCAGGAATGAATATGTCAGGATGAGAAGAGAGGCAGAAAGACAATACGAAAATGACATCGCAAGCAAGGCAAAGACTCAGCCTAAATTGTTGCATAGCCACATTAGGAGAAAAACAACAGTAAAGGAACAGGTTATGAGATTAAGGATAGGGGCGGAAGGATTCACTACAAATGACAAGGAAGTGTGTGAGGAATTGAATAAGAAATTCCAGGAGGTCTTCACCTTAGAACAAGGAGAAATTCCAGAGGTAAGTGAGGGAATAGCTAACCAGGAACCACTGGAAGAGTTTGAGATTACCAGTGGGGAAGTAAGGAAGTGTTTACTAGAGTTGGACGTGACGAAGGCTATAGGCCCAGATGGAATCTCCCCTTGGGTTCTAAAGGAAGGAGCAAGAGAACTGAGCCTACCACTCTCCATAGTGTATAACAAATCACTGGCAACAGGGGAACTGCCAGATATTTGGAAAGCAGCTAACGTAGTCCCGATATACAAGAAAGGGGATAGACAGGAGGCACTGAACTACAGGCCAGTGTCCCTAACCTGCATACCATGCAAGCTGATGGAGAAGATTGTGCGAAAAAAACTAGTGGAGCATCTGGAGCGAAGGAACTTTGTAACACAGCATCAACATGGGTTCAGGGATGGCAGGTCCTGCCTCACAGGGTTACTTGAATTCTACGACCAGGCAACAAAAATAAGGCAAGAAAGAGAAGGGTGGGCAGACTGCATATTTTTGGATTGTCAGAAAGCCTTTGATACAGTGCCACACAAGAGGCTAGTGCGAAAGTTGGAGATGCAGGCTGGAGTGAGAGGGAAGGTACTCCGGTGGATAGAGGAATACCTAAGCAACAGGAGACAACGAGTCTGTGTGAGGGGTGAGGTCTCAGATTGGCGAGACGTCACAAGTGGAGTCCCGCAGGGGTCAGTCCTTGGACCTATACTGTTTCTGGTATATGTAAATGATCTCCCAGAGGGTATAGATTCGTTCCTCTCAATGTTTGCCGACGATGCAAAAATTATGAGGAGGATTGAAACAGAGGATGATAGTAGGAGGCTACAAGATGACCTGGATAGACTGAGTGAATGGTCCAACAAATGGCTGTTGAAGTTCAACCCGAGTAAATGCAAAGTAATGAAACTAGGCAGTGGAAACAGGAGGCCAGGCACAGGATACAGAATAGGAGATGAAGTACTTAATGAAACAGACAGAGAGAAAGATCTAGGAGTTGATATCACACCAAACCTGTCTCCTGAAGCCCACATAAAGAGAATAACGTCTGCGGCATATGCGAGGCTGGCTAACATCAGAACGGCGTTCAGGAACCTGTGTAAGGAATCATTCAGAATCTTGTACACCACATATGTAAGACCAATCCTGGAGTATGCGGCCCCAGCATGGAGCCCGTACCTTGTCAAGCACAAGACGAAGCTGGAAAAAGTCCAAAGGTATGCTACTAGACTAGTCCCAGAACTAAGAGGCATGAGTTATGAGGAAAGGCTGCGGGAAATGCACCTCACGACACTGGAAGACAGAAGAGTAAGGGGGGACATGATCACAACCTACAAAATCCTCAGGGGAATCGACCGGGTAAACAAGGATGAACTTTTCAACACTGGTGGGACGCGAACAAGGGGACACAGGTGGAAGCTGAGTACCCAAATGAGCCACAGAGACGTTAGAAAGAACTTTTTCAGTGTCAGAGTAGTTAGCAAATGGAATGCATTAGGAAGTGATGTGGTGGAGGCTGACTCCATTCACAGTTTCAAATGTAGATATGATAGAGCCCAATAGGCTCAGGAATCTGTACACCAGTTGATTGACGGTTGAGAGGCGGGACCAAAGAGCCAGAGCTCAACCCCCGCAAGCACAATTAGGTGAGTACAATTAGGTGAGTACCTGTAACCCACACTCACACTCACAACACCCCACACCTCCACCTTATAGTTATGCCAACCCCCCCCCCCTCCATCACTATACACCCACAACTTCCCCCTCCACCTCCACACACGCACACCAACCCCCACATCAGCACTACGCATCCACACTTACCACCACAGAGGGGGATATGATCACAACATACATGATACTAAGAGGATTTGACAAAGTGAACAAGGATATCCTATTTAAACTGAGAGAAAATAGCAGCGGACATAAGTGGAAGCTGGAAATACAAACGAGTCCAAGGAATGTAAGGAAATACACATCGTACGGGCGGTCAACAAGTGGAATGCACTGAAAGAACAAGTTGTGGAAGCCACCTCCATCCACAACTTGAAGAATTCAAACGCCAGAAGAGTTAAATTATAACGCAACAGGTACCATAAGGATGATAGACGGGGCATAAAGAGCTTAACCTCACTTCCGTGTAGGCACTGATAGGTATGCACTGGTAGGTAAGTTCAACCATATACTTACATCCACCCCCTCCCCCCCCCCTACACACACACTCATACCTCTCACCACTACCCCCACTCCCCACCCCCACTCCCCACCCCCACTCCCCACCCCCATTACCACTTCTCTCCACAACACATCCATACCTTCTCCTCCTCCTCAACAGATCCCCACCATCACATCCACACCCCCCCCCCTTCCTCCCCCCACCCCGCTTCCTGTCTTCAAGGTTCAGGTTTGTTTTTGTTTGTGGTGGGAAGGGAGGAGGGGGGGATGTCAGGTGTGGAGGGAGGAGGGGGATGGGGAGGTGTGTCCGGAGTAGGGGAGGGGCGAATAGAAAGAAATGAGGTAGTGGTGTTTCGTGGGGTGGGGTGGGGGGGTGGAGGAGGCCAAGAGGTGAGTGAGGAAGCTTGCAGTCAGATTCAGGTGACATGGATCCTTCTGTTTAAGTGTTTACCTTATGTCATTTAAGGTTGATATGCATTATCGTTCATCCAGGTACCAATATATATATATATATATATATATATATATATATATATATATATATATATATATATATATATATATATATATATATATATATACACAATATCTATGTGTTTGTGTGTATGTAATGGGAGTACAACCTCTGACTGGAAGAAGGGAACCCTAAGCTTCCGAGAAAAACACACAATGCATTAGAGAGGATTTTTAAGTCCCCTCCAATGCATTTTCCATGTTCTTTTGTCCTACCACCTCCTTCCTTTTGTCTTTTTGTTGTGCTTTATTAGATGTTTAAAGGTTAGAAGATGTACATTGGTTAATACAATGAGTGTTTTAAAAGTTATGAATCTTTTCGAGCTCCTCTGCTTTCAGACAAGAAACGAGGATGCAGTAGGCATCCTCTAGATCGTTACATTGAGGCTCTGAAACAAGACACTGGCAGCCCTTGGGTCTGTGGTTATATCAACGAGCCTCGAACTCAATTCTTTGAGAACCCCCAAGACACTCCGAGCATCTCAGATGCTATGGGAACAAAGGTGCATTGACCTTCCAGTCACCTGTACTTAATTGATTTTTCTGTTTCCCTGTGGTTGGCTGCACCACCTGCTTGATCAGCACTGAAGTGTATGTATGTATCAACCGCTTGCCTCCCCTTCCAGTGGTATACTGCAATGCCATCTGGGCAAAGTGCAGGATCGTCCGGGTTTTGGGCCATTAGGAGGTTCTCAGGTTGCAAAGTTCTCTCTCTCTGCTGGGCACTGAGCTGAGGTAAGGTTCTTCTTGATGCCCTTAACCACGTTGTGTCTTGCATGCCAGCCTTTGAAGCTCCTGCAGTGCAGCCTATACAGTCCATTTTCGTCTGCTACCACCTTGTTGCAAATACATTTCTATTCAGTGTGAATTTGGGCAGCAAGGCAGAGACCCACTGCCTTGGTAGTAGAGAATGTGAAACTACACTGTTCACTATGAAGAAAATTTGTCATCTTCACTCAGTTCCACATCAATTGAAGGTGTTACTGGTATCTGTGATACAGATCTGCTGTATATATCATGAATTAATATCACGAGGTAAGTTAATAAAGCTGAAAAATAGCATTTTTTTTTTAATTTTGTCTAAAAATTTTGTAGCCGACAACAAAAGAAATTTGTCTCGGTTCACTTGGCATATATAAATTAATGACTGAGTAAAAATGTATGGTACAAATTGAAAGTAGTTTGTTCATCAAATAAAAATAAAATAATGTCTGTAGATGCAAGATTTGGATATTAAAACATTTTTTTTTAAATTATGCTCCTTTTGAAAATTGTTCTGCAAACTTTTTAGGTTCCAGTGTTGTTATATGTTATCATCTTGTTATGCAAACTGAGTTCCAGTGTTTTGGCAGACAGTTAAATAGCCTATCAGTAAGGCAATTACAATATAAACATTATTACTAGTATCTGGATTATATCAACTCTCCTTTCAACACCAGTAAGCAGTATTATTGAAGTACAGTATTGGTAACATGACATTACAAATCAGATGTTAAATCAGATATTAGTGGCTTTCCAAGAATGTAAGAATACCAGTGTTATATACTCTTACAAACCCAATGTACCTTCTTGCATATAAATAAAAATACATAAATAAATAAATACTGTAAATGAATAAGATGCCTAAGCCCCAAAGAGGCTAACATCATTGCTAAGCATATCTTAAAGTTGGTAAAGGTTAACCATGGATCATTAAAATCTGATAATAATATATGATGTTGCATACTGAATGCAACATCATATACTAATATAAATGAATGCAACATGATGTTACATTCATTCATTACATGGTGCAGTATGTCTTAATTTGAGTCAATTTCTGAGTTTTTACTTTCTGAGTTTTCTGAATTCCTTACATTACCTTGCCCTGAACTGAGAGGGAGAGCATAACCTGGATGGTAATGTAATTATCAGGAGAAAATGCTGACAAGTCAATATAACTACAGTTTAACAAAAAATACAATTTAACATTTTAATTGGATATACAGAACCTGGGATAAACATAACCCAGAAATATTTGTTTTATGGCATTTTAATATTTAACAAAACAAGTGCATTTATATTTTTACAGCTGACAGGATTTTTTTATTCCCAGGTGCACTTATTTGTTAAAAAAAAATTGTTTATTTGTTGTTTTTACATGATGTATTGTGTATTAAACATTTAAATTTGTCCCTACTAAATGTATTCACTTTTTTATATTAACAGGCTTAGGTATACACAGTAATGTGCTACTACCCTATTCTATATGAAGAATTACAGAGTGTATATATAAAAAAATCTAGCTACAAGTTCATCTAATATCCCCCATCTCACAGGATGGTCATGGAATCAGGGGAGAACATGAAGTGTGAGGCTGCTCTAATATCCTGCAAGAGCAAACAAAATCTGGATAGAGCACAAGAATATTTTCTAATATTACTGTGTGTATGAAGTAGTTACAGAGCTCAATGTACCTCAATATATATATATATATATATATATATATATATATATATATATATATATATATATATATATATATATATATATATATATATATATGTCGTACCTAGTAGCCAGAACTCACTTCTCAGCCTACTATGCAAGGCCCGATTTGCTTAATAAGCCAAGTTTTACTGAATTAATATATTTTCTCTAATTTTTTTCTTATGAAATGATAAAGCTACCCATTTCATTATGTATGAGGTCAATTTTTTTTTATTGGAGTTAAAGTTAACGTAGATATATGACCGAACCTAACCAACCCTACCTAACCTAACCTAACCTATCTTTATAGGTTAGGTTCGGTTAGGTAGCCAAAAACGTTAGGTTAGGTTAGGTTAGGTAGGTTAGGTTGTCGAAAAAACATTAATTCATGAAAACTAGGCTTATTAGGCAAATCGGGCCTTGCATAGTAGGCTGAGAAGTGAGTTCTGGCTACTAGGTACGACATATATATATATACATATATATTATTAAATATGACCGAAAAAGTAAGATTAATAATTCTAACACGAATTTTCTCAATCTTTCGTACATTTCGCTTCACTGTTGGAGGTAAATCAAAAATCAATTCTCCAAAATTCATTTTTATTTCTAGTCTGACGCGACACGAGCGCGTTTCGTAAAACTTATTACATTTTCAAAGACTTTAGTTCACAAATACACAACTGAATAGAACTTACGCATCTCCGATTTTATATCTACATGCGTAAGATGCGTAAGTTCTATTCAGTTGTGTATTTGTGAACTAAAGTCTTTGAAAATGTAATAAGTTTTACGAAACGCGCTCGTGTCGCGTCAGACTAGAAATAAAAATGAATTTTGGAGAATTGATTTTTGATTTACCTCCAACAGTGAAGCGAAATGTACGAAAGATTGAGAAAATTCGTGTTAGAATTATTAATCTTACTTTTTCGGTCATATTTAATAATATATGTCTACAGGAAAGACTGCTACCAAAATATACTAATATACATATATATATACATATATATATATATATATATATATATATATATATATATATATATATATATATATATATATATGTCGTATATATATATATATATATATATATATGTCGTACCTAGTAGCCAGAACGCACTTCTCAGCCTACTATGCAAGGCCCGATTTGCCTAATAAGCCAAGTTTTCCTGAATTAATATATTTTCTCTAATTTTTTTCTTATGACATGATAAAGCTACCCATTTCATTATGTATGAGGTCAATTGTTTTTTATTGGAGTTAAAATTAACGTAGATATATGACCGAACCTAACCAACCCTACCTAACCTAACCTAACCTATCTTTATAGGTTAGGTTAGGTTAGGTAGTCGAAAACGTTAGGTTAGGTTAGGTTAGGTAGGTTAGGTAGTTGAAAAACCATTAATTCATGAAAACTTGGCTTATTAGGCAAATTGGGCCTTGCATAGTAGGCTGAGAAGTGCGTTCTGGCTACTAGGTACGACATATATATATATGTATATATATATATATATATATATATATATATATATATATATATATATATATATATATATATATATATATATATTAATACAAACATTACAATTTGCTGTAACATTACAGCAAAAAACATATCATTAAATGTACATCAATTGTTCATTTCAGATTCAATAATTTCCTTAGTTATATTTCCTGGATATTTCTTTTAAGCATAAGTTTTAAATACTGTGCCATTTTTTCTCCAAATATCTCTGATTTATACAAAACTCTGTATTGCAAGCACCTTGATTTTTTAATGAAATTAAGTCAAATGCTATATAGATATTGTACAAACAAAAACAAAGTTGTTTACAATAGCCTATTCTGTACAACAATTATCAATGTACAGGTATATGAATAAATATAGATGATAAAACTTTCACACAATTTTTTTAAGAAAACAGTTTAGAAAACAAATAATTTTTGTATTGTGAAATGCATTACAAAGAAAGAAATTCCTTGAATCATTTACTCATACTGTGTTTTTGTTTGCCATATTCATGTGATACTTGCCCTACATTTCCATTATTTACAAAGTCATTATCAATGATGTCATCGACAGGTATTCTTTGCTCAATGCAATAATTGTACATCAACATACATGCAACTGAAATCTTTGCAAATTTACCGTATCGAAGACTACCACCAGACCTGTGGAGACACCTAACCCAAGATTTCAATATACCGAAGGTTTTCTCGATAACTACTTTTCACCATCTGGTCACCATTTGGTCCGGGAGACATCTCCCGTCACGCTGGGTGCAGTCACACCTCCACAGATCTCCAGTATCATCTATTGATACTGGTGATGGCTCAAAAGGGCCACCACTTACGAGCTATTCATGCCCGTGCCACCTTTTGGGTGGCTTCATCTTAACACATTCACAAGGGAGACATCTCCCGTCATGCAGGGTGCATTCACACCTCCACAGATCTTCAGTATCAGCTCTTGATACTGGTAATGGTTTAAAATGGCCACCACTTACGGGCTATTTATGCCCGTTCCACCTTTTGGGTTGCTTCATCTTCATCTTAACACATTCACAAGGGAGACATCTCCCGTCATGCAGGGTGCTTTCGCACCTCCACAGATCTCCAGTATCAGCTTTTGATACTGGTGATGGCTCAAAAGGGCCACCACTTACGGGCTATTCATGCCCGTGCCACCTCTTGGGTGGCTTAATCTTCATCAATCAATCAATCAATCGATAACTACTTTTGGTTTTGTATGGCTCCTGTTATACAGAATATCCCTTTTCTGGAGGATTGCCAGGGTCACTGAAGGGTGTACTTAAGTTTAGTTTCAAAGGATAGCCACTGTCACCTGCATAGATATTTGTTATTAAAAATGTGCATACATCTATATTAATCACTAAATACTGTACTGTAACCCTCAAGCCCTACTTGATTTCATACACTATTTGATTCTACCATCTGAAGTTACTGGTTACCTTCCTATGTCATATGGTCACCTTTTCTTTACTTTTTTTGTACATTATTCTGTTTTCATAGGTACTAAGGTCTACCTAATGAACTCTAAGTAAACCTAGAAAGCTTCCTAAATGTCAACCTATGTTTCGCTATTAATGAACATTAATAACTTAACCTGTAAAGCTGTTGATTTCTGCATTGTAAAATATGAATAATAATGTATTCTTTCTGTTTATTTAGTGAATTTTTTTATCTATTATTCTGTTGCAATTTCTGCTGTACCAATCACCATGCAATTATTGTCATTGTTTTATTTCTTTACCTCAGTTCATTTTTGCTTTTCATCCCAACAGGTTTCAAGTCTTTAATTTTGTATTTTTTTCCCTCATCATGCCCAAAACACTGTACAATTATACAGTGTATAAGTGGAATACTAGTGACTTTAGACATAGCACTTGCTCTACCTAGAAATGCTACATTATCATGTATTGTACACTATTTTGTATGGGTATGTACCTTTGCTTAAATAAAAATTACTATTATTATTATTATTATATAGTGGCTTTGCAAGAATGTAAGAGTGCAAATATTATGTACTCTCACAACCCAATGTACTTTCTTGTATATAAATAAGTAAATCAATAAATAATTACAAATTAAATATTGAAGGTGAAGGAAAGACCCAATACAATGTACTGTACTGTATGTGGAAGTGTATTAAAAAAAATTTTTTGGATGTAACCTACATCCTTGGTCTTTAATACATTTACACATATATTGGGTCTTTTCCTCACCTTCATTCACGCGCTACAGCATTGTAGCAAATATCTCCATTATTACTGTTAATGTTTTTTTTTTTTTTTTTTTTTTTGAGATATATACAAGAGTTGTTACATTCTTGTACAGCCACTAGTACGCGTAGCGTTCCGGGCAAGTCCTTAATCCTATGGTCCCTGGAATACGATCCCCGCCGCGAAGAATCGTTTTTTCATCCAAGTACACATTTTACTGTTGCGTTAAACAGAGGCTACAGTTAAGGAATTGCGCCCAGTAAATCCTCCCCGGCCAGGATACGAACCCATGACATAGCGCTCGCGGAACGCCAGGCGAGTGTCTTACCACTACACCACGGAGACTGCATTGTCCAGAGGCAATGTTCAGAGGTTTGTAACTAACATGTCAAAACAGCCTAAAGGTAATACACTTCATTCCACATTTAAGTTACTCATCCACTTGAAAGCTCTCATATAATTATTCATTGCTATACCATGACACATGCTGTCTTAACACCAGTTAAAAAAAAAAATCTGCCCCTTTTCATTTAAAACCCTCTCGCATACATTCTCACTCATCAGGGCTAGCATACTTACTCTCAGTTATTTCTTTAATCTAATATCAACATTCATAAATTTCTTTATACATTACTACCATGAACACCCAAATCATGGAACTATTTACTCTACCCACCATGAGAGTAAGGACAGGACAAGAACATATCGATGCCAACACAGAAGACAAT